TTATTAGGCATTAGTCCCAGAGAACACCAAAAATTAGCTATACACAAACTCTAGAAAACTGTAAAGTAGAGGTGTATCTAGAGGAGGGATGCAAAAACATATGGGTGATAAAAAAAATGCAATGGTGAAAGTAGAAAGCATTGAGAAGGCAAAACTCTAGGAAAATAAAAATAAATGCATTTAAGAAAAAATACAAATAAGAGAGATTACCTATGCTCTATGGTCTGCTTTTTGATGATGCCAGACTGACCTAAATTTTTCAAGTCCTAACCAGAGAAACCAGAAATACTATGTCTGGTTAAGAGTTTTAAAATACTTACTGATTTAATAAATAGAAAATGGGACCTAAGAGCCAAAAGATAAGTAAAATGAAAATGAAAATGCATGATATTAGTTTTCATAGCAGTTTTTAAAAGTTCTGATTTTCCTATTTGCAATATCTTTTCTTACTAAAATAGAGTAGGTGTTCAATAAATTCTGAGTAAAAACATAAATGAAGGGAAACATCTCAAACACTATTAGTTCTTGTCATTATAGAATAATAGCAGCAGCTTACTAAATGTCTGGCACTAGTCCAAACTCCTAATTTCTTTTAATGAGGTTGTATCATTGTCTTCCTCACTTTGTGTATGAAGAAAGTGAGGCCAGATAAATTAAGGACTTGTCCAAGTTAAACTAGTAAAAGGTAGAGAAGGATATGGATTGAGACTGTATGGCCCAGAATCTATTCTGGTTTAAGCAACTGAAAGCCAAAGAAAAGCTGTCATTTTAATGAGGCAATGATTTTCAGTTCATGATTGGAGAAAAAAGTACCAGATCTTTCCTCAGAGATGCTGATTTTGTAAGAAATGTCAATCAACAATGATTCATATGTCAATATAAAATTAACAATGTCAGCATAATAATGCCAAATAATAAGGTATAAAGAAATGTTTACTCCCCCAAGACTCTAAGAGTGACCTATTGTTAACCTCTAGTGAAGACTGGTCTCTAAACATACTGAGGTCACTTGACTGTCATATGATGATCTTAACCACATTTTCTAACTTCTCTAAAATTGACTATAGAAAAAAATAAAACAGAAACAATCATCATGGCATTATTAATAGAAATTTAAATTCTGAATCCCCCTTTGTTCAAATTAGCATTTTCACCTTAGAAGTGAGAGGTAGCTGTATTAATCTATTTGTAACACTTAGAAAATTATGTAGGTGAGAGAACAGCAAAAAATTAGTAAGTTAAACCAACATTACTCATCCTGCAAATTGCCTTCTACAAAAATTTGAAGTCAACAACTTTACAAAAGGATTAGCATAAATTAAAAAGCAAATGCTTAAGACTAATATAACTAAAATCTGAAAGATAGATTTTCTCAGAGTCGAATTATCTTCATAATACCAAACAACACAGTGGTACAACAAAAGGAATCCAACCTATTTTTGACTTGGGAGGAGGAGGGGGGGATTATTTTCTTCTAAAAATGAATGGGAAAAAAATGTGCCCAGTCTCAGATTGTAAATACACCAAAATAATGACAAAATGTTATTTAAATTAAATTTACCAATTATGATTTATAGGTCCAACTGAGATAGCTATTTAGAACAAAAATAAGGGTACTTAATTCTGAAGATTAATAGTTCAAAAGGTACTCCAATTTATAGTTCAAAAGGTACTGAAGCTTCTTTATTAAGATGTGTCAAACAAACAGGAGAGCATGTTTTAAAATTCCAATAGAGGGCAGAAAAAAAAAGAGAACATAAAATTAAATTGATAATAGTCTGTTCAATTTAATGGTGAAAAGAATTCCAAAAAAGGGGGAGAAGTACAGTTTACCTTCAATGGAAAAACAAGACTACTTGTAATTGTAGAATTAACGGACCTGAAGAACCACAGGATGATTAAAATTTTTAATAAAAATGCGGTAAAAGCATACAATTAAATACAATGCATAAACACTGACATTAGGGACACATTATCTAATTGTTAACAAGAAAACGGGTTATTTGGAAAACAGATTAAAAGTACTACTGGTAAGACCACTCTTGATGACTTAAAAAGCTCTCGAACTCTGTACCCTACAAAACAACTAACCTGATTGTCTCTCTTCTCAGCTAAGATATAAGCAATGTCAAGGAGTATTTTATTCCAAAGCCGATAATCATATCTGGCCATAACTGCCTTGTAACTGTCCATGCACACAGTCTTTGAAGCAGAGGATTAAATGTTCCTGCCCATTTTATCTAGTCCCCAAGACTCGTCCTGTAAAGTGAATACAAATGATTACCTTTTAATCTACCCCTTGCACACATACCACAAAAGAAAACAAAAAGCAAAAAACAGAGAATAGGGCAAATGAGAACAGGAAAATTCTTGAAAAGATAGATATTTAGCATCCAGCCTGAAATTAAGTTCTCTGCAAGATTTCTGCTTTGTTGAAGAAAAGGTGATGGATATGTCTCACATTTCATGAAACTGTGCCTTGGAAGATAAGATCATTAATGTAAACATACAGCAATTACAGTAATATTTTAAAGTAAATTTGAGAATGACTTAAAAAATAGGTTGTAGCTTTTGAAAAATCAGTATAAACATTACACTGATCTTGCATTTTTCTTGACATCTGATTTTGAAAAATGATTTCAAATTCAAATAGGCTAGATGATAATACTTAAAGAGCTTCGGTGAAAACAAAATGGCATTAACCACTCAGTTTTAAAAGCTATCATGATCAGAGATAAACTGTGGGAAAAGATGGAATGGCACTGGAAAGAGGAGGAGAGCTACTCAACTCGACTCAAAAGAACTAAAGCCGTAATTAAAATATATTTAAGCACATATAAAATTAGCACATACAGGTTACCAAAGCAATACAACAATAAAAGCCACTGAAAATGGGCCAATGAAAGGAGAGGTGAAACGGTCCATCATAAAGCCAGCAAAATTCAGTAATAGTTCATATACATGGCAGTGAAGGACAAATGCAAATGAATTAAAGAGCATTTTTCAGGAAACTGAAACATTGCAAGTAAAAATATTCTGTATATTTCTATAATATATTATTCCTTCTACTGTGTTCTTACATAGAGTATGTGGCATATATTTAATTTTTGTACAGAGTGCCCACAGGTTTCTGGCCTAAAGAGAGGTAGGTAGCTTGCACTCTATCTTGATATCTATAAGCAAAATTTTTTTCTTTTTGTTATGAATTGTTATTTCACAATTCTATCATCAGTAGGATAGGGTCTAACCTCCATTCATTTGTTGCTTCTCCTCTCTTGGCTTTGAGAAACCAGATAATATTTTATGATAGCACTTTGGCTATTCAGAAGTAATTCTATCTTATGTCTAGGTTTTACTTCAATCACTGCATTTACTATACATCTGACAGCCAGTTAAATGGGCATTACTCACATAGAAGAAAGTAAGATGAAAAGTAAATTGAAAATACAAAGAAAAGAAAAATTCAAGCACAAAATGCAGAAGACACTAAAGGTCATGAAATTATAAAGACAGTATATATCAGATAATTTTTTAATAATGAGTAGCATTTTTTTATAAAAAGATACAACTGGGTACAAGATCTCTTCTTCTTCCTAATAAAGTAGAGGATACTCAAGACACAGCATAAATCGTGTTTGATGTTGATTCTGTATAGAAATTGTTCCTACAATAGTGTTTTCATTTCACTTTTTTAAAAAAAGATCAAATTGGATAAAGATCTTTCTGTTTTCCATAATGAGGAAAAGGACAGTCTCAAAAGAAAATAAACCATGTTTCAGTCTTGTTTCATACAGACTAAAATTAAGAGACTAATGAACACTAATATGGATTACCTACATTAAGTGAAAAAAAAATGGAAAAAGGGAGTGGGGAAAAATACGAATGAATGACACAGGTAATATCATCACATTGGCTTTAGGAAACAGGTTAAGCCCAGAAAAATGACATAATTTATAATCAGGGATTTGCAACGTGCAGTCTCCAAAGTACCAGCACCACCATCACCTTGAAATTGGTTGAACTCTGCGGGTTAGCGCAAGCAGCCTGTTTCAGTAAGCCCTGCAGGTGATCCCGATGCATGCTGAAGCTAGAGAACCAACGCTTTAAGTAAATTAGATCACTGAGAAATTTAAATGCAAGGTGAAATGCAATTAATGAAATTAAATTTGATTTTTGTTGGGGTAATGTGTAAGATGAACATAGACAAAGTTACTAATAAAAAGGATGAAATTCAGGAGTATTTAAACATATGTGCATGTACACATACAGGCACACACACACATGCTCCATATCATGAAAAACAGTCATTTTAGGTAAGTACAGTTAAAATAGTTGAGGGAAAAAACAAGGGAAAAATGAATGTACTTAGCTGAGAAACTGTCTAGATAATTCTAAAATGAAAGAAGTAAAAACTGTAATCTTAACAGTTCTGTAGATTATCTATAGTTTACCTGAATGAACTGATTTTAGACACATTATGTCTACATATGCTTAGGAGGGGTAGACTAGGAATAGGATTGCCAACTAGGTAGCAATTACCTTTACAATTAGATGGAAGTGTTTAAAATATACAAACAAATAAATATTTATACACTTATGTAGAGTAACAATGAGCAATAAAGCAATTTAATTAAATATTAAAAAGTACTATGAATTTGGATTATCAACTTTTATTCTTTGAATTTACCAAAGAATATGTCCTACTGGACTCCTTAAATTTCTATGGTTATAAAATAGGGATGTAGGAAAATAACTAAACATTCAGAGATATATTTGCTGACATTTGCCAGAAGTTTTCAGTTTTTATTCTCAAGGCTATCAAATGCTAGTTATCAAAACAAGTATACATTTTAATCTTAACATATTAACACAAACCATTCAAATGAATTTGGGGGACAGGGATTATTTTTTCAAGAGCACAGTAATTAATTTAAAGTAATATATGATAGAACATACTTAACAAAATTTAACGGAAGGGAAATAAAACTTTGGTTACTTACCAGCAAGGGTACTTGTATGCCTAAAAGCTCTGACCTGGGAGTCTGATAAACCAGTCAAAAGGGAGATTACTGTGTCCATCATATACTCATCATAAATTATGCTATACTGACACTGTCGAATCAGGACTCCAATAAATTCACAAAAGTTTGAACGAAATTTTTTCCACTGAGGTCCAGGCATGGTAAGGGGATAATCACCACTGTCCTAAAAGGGATAAAAAGAACATGTTAAATATGACATATGATCTCAGTTTGAGCAGTTTTTTTCCTCCTACTTGTAAAGGAACTTACTCAGCTTCTTTTTTCTCCAACTCGATGTGGACAGAAATTGAAGGTGACTACAAAGGTATATTAATGGCTTTATTTTTTGTTTGTTTTGATCTTCCACAACTAAGTAACTCTTAATATGCTCAAAATTATTATTTAGAACCAGTATTTAATTCATTATTCTATGTCATACATTCAAAATAAGTTCTATAGTTTTGTTGTACATGGGTACTAGTTGACATGATTTGAAATAGAAAACAAAAAAAGTTAAAGAAATTTAGCCTAGAAAGGATACCTGCCATTGAATTCAGATCAACTAATCAAGATACCTGTTTCACATAGCACCTTTCAAGGATTTTGAATATAATTTTTAGGAATTTCAAAAACATAAGCATTTCATTAAGAGGTCCAAAACTAGCTTTTCATATCTCAAAATACAACTCTGTTTCTTCTAGTTTAACTATGAACTTTCTATTAATTGTATTTTATAGAGTACATTCATTAGCTTTTGAAAGAAAAAAATCTGATATGGACTCTTGGCATCATCAAATTATGTCATTTTGTTTGAGCCACAAAACTGACAGTTGAACCCAACTGGAGGTTTTAGACGTTTAGCCTACAAGTAGCCTAAAAATTCACACCCTCTAGCTAAAAAGAATTTTCGTAGAGAAATGGAAATTCACAAGGCAGAGAATGAGAAAATCTGTGAACACACTATCTGAATATTTGTAATTTATGGCTGTTTGTCTTTTCTAGGCCAAATTGCTTCTAGGAAAGCCTTAGTTATGAGTGAAGTCTTGAGTTCTGCTGATATTCCAGTAAAGAGAGCTACTGTAATTTTGGTGTTACATGAGTGTTACAGGGTTTCCTAAGCCCTAAAAAGATCAAAAAAGGAACTGAAGGGGCTGCCGGAATCTTCCCACCCTTGAGACTGGGGGTGTGCAGGTAGACTGGAGAGAGTAGTAGAGTGGACAGATGAGATGCTTCTCAAAGGTGTCTCAGAAGACTGCCTGCTGTTTCTGTATCACAAAAGCCCACAAGGTAGAGAGTCCTTCTTGCTTTATACCAACTACGGGATTCAGCCATTGAGTGCTCCACAACAACGAGACCTGGGCCCCAGGGAGAAAACAAAGAATATAATTCTCAAAACAGACCTAACAGAAGGAGGAGAAAAAGGAGGCAGAAAAATCAATATTTAGGAAAGCCTAAGTAAGTACACTTCAAAAGATTCAAGGGTGGCACAAAATAAAATTTAGAAAGCCTCTAGAGAATTAAACTATTTTTATTTTTTAAAAGATCTTTTGGAAGTAAAAGTCACACATTATATTATATTAGTTTCACACATACAATACAGCAATTCAAATATTTGTATATACTAGGAAATGATAACAATAAGTCTAGTTAAGATCGGTTACCATAGGTGGTTATCTTTTTTCTTGTGAAAACTTTTAAGATCTACTCTTAGCAACTTTCAAATATGCAATACAGTATTATTAACCATAATCACCATACTTCCCATTACATGCACATGAATTATTTATTTTTATAATGGCAGGTTTGTACTTTTGACCCATTTCACCCATGCCTCCTGCCTCTGGCAACCACTAAACTGTTCTTTTATTTAGCAGTTCAGTGTTTTGTTTAGTTTTTTAGACTCTCTATATAAATGACATCATAAGTGACCATAAATGTCCTACTCTTATTTCACTTAACATAATGCCCTCTAGGCTGCCACTCGTAAGATTTCCTTCTTTTAGTGGCTGAGTAATATTCCATTTTGTGTGTATGTATATGTATCACATTTCCTTTCATCCATCAACACACACTTGTTTCCATATATTGGCTATTGTAAACAATGCTGCAATGAAGATGGGGGTCCATATCTAAAATACTTCTTAATTAAACAATTCAGTTGATGAATGGAAGGAAAGAATGTTCAGTGAAAGGAGATACATTAGTAGCCTGGATAACAGTATACAAGAAATATTTCAGAAAAAAGGTACAGTTTGACCCTTGAACTACACAGGTTTGAACTGTGCAGGTCCACTTATATGTGGATTTTTTTCAACCAATACATTGGAACATTTTTTGGAGATTTGCAATAGTTTGAAAAGATATTTTCCTTTTTGTTGTTGATGTTTATTATTGAAGTATAGTTGATAAACTCTATTATATTGGTTTCAAGTATACAACATAGTGATTCAACAGTTTTATACATTATTAAATCCTCTCCCCAACTAGTGTAGTTACTACCAACATAGATGTTACAGAACTACTGACTATATTCTCTATGCTGTACTTTTATCCTTATGACTAATTTATATTATAATTGAGATTTTGTGCCTCTTTATCCTGTTCACTTATTTCACCCACCCATGCCAATCTCTCCCCCATGGTAACCACCAGTCACTTTTCAGTGTTTTTGAATCTACTGGTGTTTAGTTCATTTTGTTTTGCTTTCAGATTCTACTTGTTAAGTGAAATTATATTGTATTTGTCTTTCTCTGCCTGACTTACTGTACTTAGCATAATACCTGTAAGTCCATCCATGTTGTCACAATGGCAGGATTTATTTTTATGGCTGAATAATAAACTCTTTCCATTCTGTAATGAGCCACATCTTCTTTATCCATTTATCTACTGATGAACACTTGGCTGCTGCCGTATCTTGGCTATTGTAAATAATGTTGCAATGAACATAATGGTGGATGTATCTTTTCAAATTAATAATTTCATGTTCTTTGGGTAAAGTTCCAGAAGTGGGATTGCTGGGTCATATAGTATTTCTGATTTTAGTTTTTTGAGGAACCTCCATACTGCTTTCCATGGTGGCTGCACCAATTTACATCCCCACCCACAGTGTAGGAGGGTTCCCTTTTCTCCTCATCAACACTTGTTATTTCTTGTCTTTTGGATAGTGGCCATTCTGACTGGTGTGAGGTCATATCTCACTTTGTTTTTGATTTGCGTTTCCCTGTTGATTAGTGATTTGGAGCATCTTTTAATGTGCCTGATGGCCGTCTATATTTCTTCTTTGGAAAAACATCTATTTAGGTCCCCTGGCCATTTTTTAATCAGGTTATTTGGGGTTTTTTTGGTGTTGAGGCTGGATATTAGCCCCTTATCGAACATATAATTTATGAATATATCTCCCATACTGTAGGTTGCCTTTTTGTTTTGTTTATGGTGTCCTTTGCTCTACAGAAGCTTTTTAGTTTGATGTAGTCCCACTTGTTCATATTTGGTTTTGTTTCTCTTGTCCAAGGAGATGTATCTATAAAGAAATTTCTCATGCTGATATTCATGAGATTCTTGCCTGTTTTCTTCTAGAATCTTATGGTTTCTTGTCCTACATTTATATCTTATATACATTTAGAGGTTACTTTTGTGTATGGAGTTAGACAGTAATCCAGCTTCATTCTCTTGCATGTAGCTGTCCAGTTTCCCCAACACCATTTATTGAAGAGACTGTCTTTTCCCCATTGTATATTCACAGCTCCTTTATCGTGTATTAACTGACCATATATGTGTGGGTTTATTTCTGGGCCCTCTATTCTGTTCCATCGATCCGTGGGTCTGTTTTTGTGGCAATATCAAACATTTTATTTTCTGTAGCTTCCCTTATTGTAAGAATACAGTATATCATACACATAATATACAAAATGTTAACTGACTGTCTTATGTTATTGATAAGGCTTCTGGTCAACAGCAGGCTATTAGTAGTTAAGTTTTTGGGATGTCAAAAGTTACACATAGACTTTCAACTGTGTGGGGCTGGTCAGCACTCCTAACCCGTGCATTGTTTAAGGATCAATTATAAATTGTTAGAAGGCTCTGGAAAAGCCCTTTAAAATGTACAGGCTAGGTTAGTCTGACCTCTTTTGCCATCTTTCCCTTCCTCTTTCACTGATATGAAACTCATGTGTGGTTGTTGGGTGTTCAACAGCCATTTTGCAACCATGAGGGGACAAGTATGAAGATAAATAATGATAGAGAGAAGAATGGAAAATTAGATTTTTTGCTCTGAGAGTTGCAATACCAACCATGCCTTGTCTACTCCCAGATTTATTTTGCATGAGACAAATAAACTGAATTAAAGCCACTGTTAGATAAATTTGTTCCTCACAGACAAATCCATTCCTACTGTTATAGTAGAATTATGAGCAGTCGAAAAAGATGAATTATTTAGTAAATGATTTTAGTACAACTGGCTGTTAGGAAATAAAATAGCTGCATTTTACACCAAATTAAATTCCTAGTGAATCAAAACACTTAAAAATATTCAACCAAAAAAAGAAAGAAAACATAGGAGACTATTCTCAGACTGAGGATATTCTAGAAGTTTTTCCTAATACAATATAAAAGCCAGAGTCGTGAAAGACCAACAAATCCAACCACATAAAAGTGACTTTTGTATTAAAAATAAAAACATGAAAAGCAAAAAGAGTAACCTGACAGGGTTTCCTACTATTTGGCTTCTACTTAAGATCCGGAAGTCTACAACAATGATAATAATCTGAATCAATCCCCAAAATCCGTAACTTTTCTTGAGCCCATCTTTAGCTGTAGAAACTTGAATTCCAAATAATAAGCCCTCCAATAAGACAAACAAACTCTATCAATCTGTGGCAGAGCCTAGGAAGAAAAGGTGGCCACTATAAAAATGGGTAAGAAGAAATCAATTAAAATTTTAATAAACTGCCGAAGATGACATGTGGACTAGCTTGTCAGTGTAGAATAACAAGGAATTTGCACTCACACAAAAGTTATTTTCCACAGGTCTTAATTGGGTACTTACAATAAAAACCTAACAGAGCAGAACAGAGAGTACCTCTCTTGGTGGTATAGGCCTACAAGGGATGATCTTCAGTTGCTGGGGGAAAAGGTAAGAATCCTGGATCACTTCTCCACATCTTTCTCTCTTAAAAATCAGAAGGCTTCATCTGATGGGGCAGAGTAAGCAAACTGAGTCACTACCATGAAACAGGTGCATGCTAGGTACATCCCACGGCAGCTAGGAGAAGGGTAGAAGAAAAAATCCTCTACCTGGGGGAAAGAGGGAAAGTAGTAAAACCCTACTCAAGGCCAACCACATACATAAGGCAGAGTTAAAGTACTATAGGAAGGAGGTCCAGGAAAGCTAAGAAGGTCCCTCAGTGGCTCTGGCATACAAGGCATGCTTAAGACTTAGGCAGGGCTTAGGACAAAAGAGAATCTCCATGACTTTACCAGAGTACCAGACATAGTAAACACCAGTCTACCACTAGGTGGGGGAGAGAAAAAGTGTGGAGCAGAAGTGCTCTGTGGCAGAGGAATGCATAGAAAACTGGAAGTTTAGGATGCAATGTGAACACTAAGAAAACCCCTCTGGTACCCAAAGCACAAAGCAACAGAAGCCCACCACAAGGGAAATCTGAATCATCTGGTATACTAAAAATGGTGACAGCAAGAGCAGAGCACTAACCTAGTTCAATTCCCAACTAGATGGACAATGTACATCATTTTGTCCCTTTAACTTTTCTATCATGTGCTAATCTTCTGCATCCACTTCAAAAGGCAGTTTCTTGCTTTACTCTAGAACTAGATATAAACTTCACCTTGTTATACACACTTACAAGTGCCATGTAAAAAGAACTGTCTAGTTAATGGCAGGCAGTGGAGTATTGAAAACAAGGTTCCTTCAAAAAGCAGTAATTTCTTTTTTCAGGAGAGCTAAGAAAGTGAAATAATGATAATAAAGATAATACTTAAGTAGCCTAAAACCTTATCCACAACTAGTATTAAAGTTCTTTGGGGGTGGTCTTATTGTGACACTTTGCACAAGGAATTTATTGAATAACTAATGAAAAGGTAAACTATATCAAATAAGAAACAGGTATAGGAAGGCAGACAGAAGCTTTACGAAGACTATTAGGTAGAAATCTTCAAGAAGGATAACACAGACCAAACCAAAAAGGTCTAGTAAGAAAGTAAGACCTTCAAGTATGTTCAGGTGAATACATGGGGAGAGATCTCCATGTAGCAAAATATAACATTATATATCTAACATTTATATGGTATGTACTTGTCACATATATAATCTTGTATTATCTATATACTGAGGTGATATTGGTATATATATATAAAGAATACAGTAAGATCTTAAGAACTTGTCCTACGTAACAAAGTTATATGGTTCTGGTCTGGGATTGTAGAATCCATGTATTCTCTAGTCTACAATGGAACTTCACTGGTTTACTATGGAAACCTCAGAGAACAGAAGTGTTGTCTAGTAAATGCTCTTCCAAGGAAGAACATTGGGGTTCTGCTTCCAAATGGAGAGACAAGCATCTAATGGAGAAGTCTATCTAATGGAAAAGGCTGTTTTCGAAGTTTTGGAGACACTGATGGGGAGGAGAGGGAAGTACCAAGCTTTGGAGAAAAGAGCTAGCAACAGAAACTAGAAAATTTTAGAGCTTCTGACTGGGATGAGAACAATCTAATGAGAGGTGTGTGCTGCAAGGCAGAGCTCATGCAGCTAACAGAAGAGGCTAACTACCTAATCTAAGCATTGATATTTAGGAACTCAATTTGGTCACAAATTGTGGATATCTAAAGAGATAAAATACTCTAATAGGAGTAAATACAAAAGAATTGATTTTGAACCCAGCTGGTGAACAATTTCACAAAAAAAGTCACATTTTTTTGGTGAAACATTGCCTTTTTGGTTATCTATTTCAACAGACTTACCCAAAGATATACATAGCACTATTTCTTAAAATAGTGACTTGCAAACACTTATTTGGATAACTATCTACTCACCCAACCATCTATTCATGTACTTACTGAGCAATAAATATGCTCCAGGCACTATACCAGTTCCTTGGCATACAAAGACGAGCAAAAGAAGGATCTTTTTCTAAGAACTTCTAATATTTTTTCCCAAAAATATAGCTGATATACACTAAGTTTAAGCTATAAAAAACATGTTGATTCGATACACTTCTGTATCGCAAAATGTTACTACCATAGGATTAAGATAACACCTCCTTTCCATCACAGTACCCATTTTTCTTTTTTTTTTTTTACAAACCCAAGAAACAGTTTTATTCTAGTCTACAGCACAAATTTTTACATGCATCGTAGTGGTTTTGACAGTGTTACTTTTGAACAGACTTTAAAAGAATCCACAAAAGTTAATATATTAAAAATAAAACACACACAATAAAGCATCAGGCATGCAGATGTTCAGAGGCATGCAGAGAGGGGTAGTCTTGTTGGTGTAATTATTGGGTACCTTTCCTATTTTAAGAATTCACCAGCAAATATCAGTTCTTCTGTTCTTCATTCCCGTATAACTCACCAAAATCAGTGAGTTCTAAACACACACCCACAAAACAAACTGTTTTAAAGCCACATCAGTACAAAATTTCAATGAGTAAACCTACATGTACTGTCAAATCAAACCCATTACTAGAAAAGAGTCAATATAAGCACCAGATCTAAAGGCAAGGTTATCTCATGTATTAAAACACCAATAGGATATTCATGAACAAAGCAAATAATACGTTAATCTTAATATAAGACACTGAGGGAAAACCAAAAGTAATATATTAAATACGACTCCACTGAGTAAGGATGTAACCCATGGACAACAGACATGAGTTCCTCTCTTTCCAACAATGCTTTAAATATTTTTTCTATGGAAAAGAAGAAAGTATAGTGGGAGATACAGAGGAAAGGTAGAAATGTGTATTTAGGCATCCAAGTCCACAACTGATAGATAATGAATATCAAAACTGGTAATACAAAGCTAAGTGACAATGACTTGACCATTGGGCACCAAACAGGCAATATTACTAATCACTGTAATTTGTATTAGTCTTTGGGGTTTTCAGGGGATGGCCAACACAGCAATGCTGTTCTGACACAGAGTGAACACTCACCTGCTGTTGAAAGGGACCCTGAAGAAAATGTGGCAAAGGCATCGAGGGAAAGTTGAATCTTTTTGAAAAAGTGAATGATATCGAAATACTTTTCCATCACTGGTAAACCCAACTAGGTCAGGTATATGTCCCAAAGCAGCAAAGAATTCAGAGTCAGAGGTTGGCAGAAAAGTTTGGAAAACTGCAGTTTTTTAAAAAATTGGAAATTTCTCCATGCTTAATAAAACTGTCCTAAGAGGTATACTGTTTGTTCATTTGTGTAATGTTGACAGCTTGCTGCAAAAATTCATGTAAATGAGGAACCGCAAAGATGAGCTTCAATGAAATAGTCTTCAAAAATTTACAAAAAACCAATTTTTCTATTTAAAAAATAACTGTTATTAGGCCAAGATGAAACATGATAGAAGTAGTGTATATTCTGTCCATGATTATTCACACAGCTAATGGGAAAGTGATAGGAACAATTTTGTCTTTAAAAGGAAGCTTTGTTATTGCACTGACTTTTGCAATCTGACCTAGTAATTTAGAAAAATCATGTAGTAAAATCTGTAAAATTAAAATACAAAATTCTGGTTTGTAAACATCAGCTAGCCAAGTCTATCCAGAGTCCTTCATGATAGTGGAATGGAATAAATAATTAACTCACTACCTTATTTACTTGCTGTAAGGGGAACATTCCAGAACACAGCTTTATAACTTTCACAGTAATCATATATCAAAGAACAAAGAAAGTCAGTGCAGTTGTCTTCTTTTTTTTTCCTCTGTGCAATTCTCAGCTCCTACCCCACTCCCAAGTGCCATAATTGAAATAATACTGGTTTGGAGACCTAATACAGATTGGTCATAAATGTCACAGGAAGTCTGTCAGACTTCAGTAAAGATATTTCCAAATGGTGTAGTAATGCACTGCAGCTGCCATAGCCACAAACAGGTGCCAGATGGCATGGATGAATGGAATGATGCCATTGGTCTTGAAGAAAACGACTCCCAGGCAGTAAATCAAGCCCCCACAGGCAAGTTCATGAAGTCCATCGGTATTATTCATTGATGTCACCACCAAGGCTGGAGAAAACCCCATTGTGAGATAGAAAAAGAGCTCAACCACCTTATACTTTTCATGGTAAAGAAATACATAAATGGTTCCTCCAGCTGCCATGAGCGGGATAAACCAACCTATATGAGATGCCAGGGGTCCAAGTTCATGGAGATTTAACCATGAAGAGTAAGCAGCAGCAATGAAGTAGATAACCATTCTATCACACATGTGAAAACAATGTTCAACTGTCCTTAAGTGGCTCTTTTTCCATGATACAATGTGAAATACTGTGGAAACGATGAAGAGGGCACAGAAGCATTCGTAAATCCAGGCTGTTATCTTTTCCCAGCAGTTGTCAGATAGCTGATGGAGCAGGGCACTGCCCAGGATGGCCGGCATGATGAGAAAGGCGTGTGTGTAGCAGTTAGCAGCATGTTCAAAACAAGTCAGTTTGTAGCGGCCATTCGCTCGGGCCCGGTGGTTCATGAACCTCTGGAATCAGTTCTTGAACTGCATTGATCCTCTGCTCCTCCTGGGGAGCCGAGATCTCTGTCTGGTCTGTGCTGGCAGCTGGGTGCACTGCCCTCATGGGCTTGGGATGCTTCGGAGGCCGCCTGTGTGCCCGGCGGACTGCTCGGCGGGGCAAGGCCCAAGCGGTCCAGGCCGGGGGTTGGGACAGAGCCAGTGCCAGACCGGGTGGCTGAAGGAGGGAGGGAGTTCACTTAAATGGCCCGATGCCTCCCACCTCCTGCCTCCCGGCTCCTCCACCCCGGGCACCCGTGCCCCGCCCCAAAGCCCATTATATACTTTTTTAAACCTGGAAAAATACCAGATGAACACTTGCTGAGTTTAAGCTGCCTGTCTGTGAGGAGTTAGTCTATGTCCTCACCGCAGCTGGCTCTCCAGGCCTCCTAACCCATTCCTTTCTGGGGGACAAAAGCATTTAAGATCTACTCCCATACCAATTTTCAAGTATATATTAACTATAATTACCATGCTGTATATTACATTTCCAGAACTTACTGTATCTTGCAACTGTACGTTTATACTCTTTGACAAACTTTTCCTCACTTCCCCCATGCAGCCTGGAACTACCTTAATTGAGAAGGCAGGCAGACAGGTGTGCATGCGCGCGCGCGCGCACACACACACACACACACACACACACACACACACACACATAAGCGAATCAGACACTGTGATAGGAATTTTATAAGAGTAATAGTACTTAGAAAAATGGGAAACAGGGTCAAAGTATTTTAGGCAATAACCCTAGCAAAGGTCTATGAACAAAAGTACAACACAGCAATGGGACTATACAGCAACTTGAGAGAGATTTTGTGGTGGCAACCAAAGAAAGAGGGTGCCAGATCATACAGGAAGTCTTCTTTATATAAAGAAGGCTAGGAAAGCCAAACTTTAACCTGGAGGCAATGAGTGGCCACTGAAGGGGTTCTGAGCAAGAAAGTATCATGAACAGATGTGAGCTTTAAAACATAGTTCTGGTTCCAATGTGGAAAAGAGTCAAAGGTAAAAATGTAAAGGAAAGGAGCAAGGACACTTAAGCTGTAGTAGATCCAAAAACAAAAGGGGGATGAGGGATGTAGAATTTAAGACAGTAATGATGGGCAAAATGGGAGGAATCTGATATTCAAATATTGAGGAAGTAAAATTTACTGAAGTAAGTAACTGGTGGGCAAAAACCTCTGTTTCTGGTTTGGTTTACTGGGTATTTTTATTCATACCAGGAAACAAAGAGAGACTGATTTGCTCCAACTCCCTGTAGGAGGCATAACTCTTTTTTAAGGATGCCTAATTAATATGCCCCATAAGACACAAAAACCCTTTAGTTCTTTTATTTTTAATTTTTTAATTTTGGTATTATTAATCTACAGTTACATGAAGAATATTATGTTTACTAGGCTCCCCCCTTCACCAAGTCCCCCCCCACATACCCCTTCACAGTCACTGTCCATCAGCGTACTAAGATGTTGTAAAATCACTACTTGTCTGCTCTGTGTTTAGTTCTTAAATGACTGATAAAGAATATCCTATTTCCAGACTTCAGGCCACACTTTCTTCCACATTCAAAATAAATCCAAAATTTCAGGAATAGATCAATGAATATTTAAACCACTGAGTGAGTGGCAAGTCGGTATAAGCAGAATTTTAACAGAGGGCCAAATATAATTTATCACTAAATATACTGTTTGAACTTTTGTTTTTAAGTTCTATTATGCCTTTAACAAAAAATAACCATAAAGATTACTTAGATTATTTTGTCTGACTTCTACAATGCAATTAAAGAGAAATTGCTCTTTATTATCAGACCTCTGCTAATTAAGCCTAAGATAACTCTTCCTTCTGGTAAAACCTCAGATTTTTTAAAATACTGGGAAATTCAAAGTGGCCCATAGAGCCAATATACACCAATTAAGAAATAATGTAAAAATATATCTGGAAAAAACAATTCTGTAAGTCAATGCCATAAACATTTTATTGTAATTTTTATTCCAACCTTACTCACCTCTATATCTCTAGCATTTATCTAGGATACTATCTTTATATTCAGAAGCACAATGATTTTGTGCTTATTTATAAGTATTAAATCCAATTTCCTTGGTCTAGTCTACAAGGCTATATTATTCACTCTCTCCAGCTTTGTATCTGTTTCCTCCTATACATCCTAAACTCCATCTTCCTGTTTTCTGTCTTTTTCTGGTGAACTTCTACTAATTTTTAAAGACCTAGTTTTAGGGCTAAATAATTTGTGAAGACCTCAAAGCTCAGACACTTACATCATCCTTAAGTTCTCACTGGGTCTTCTATTTCTCAACTATTGAACTTGTCAAGATATTATTGCTAATAGACTTTACACAGCTTTCCCCATTTAAAACAAGAACTCATTGTCTAGAGGTATATAACTTGGCTGATCTCTAAATATTGTAGCTTTTAACTAAAAGTTAGGACATACATGAAATGTTCTGTAAATGCTCATTAAAAAACATAAAAAATGTTAATCCCATATAAGTTTGAAAGACCAATAGTTCATTTACTTAACATAAAAATAAGTTATTACCTACAATAAATAAAAAGAATATATAGAATTTTAAATACCTGGCTTTAGCTAGATAATTTAATAGTTCTTAAATACTATTAATAAATATGAATGTAGTTCATTTATATTGGTATAAAATCATGTTTTACAGATGTTTTTAAATTGAAGAATAAAAATCTTAAAATTGCCAGTTAATTACATCCTCAATACACAGTTGATCATGACTAATCCAGATGAGGATTTAGTCTGGTACCCTTTGATACAAATGTTATTGTTGAGTCATATTTTTGTGTACGAGTATCTCATTTAAGCATTTCTCATGAGAGTGGATGCCTCAGCTAGTGTAACGGAATGGTTTACTCAATCGAAAAAAATTTAATATAAATCAATAAACTATAACTAGTCCTTCTAAAAGAAACACTAGTTTAATTATGTAGCTCATTCAGTCAGTCATAAAACATTGGTAATAGAAACAGAAAGGTATTATATGACTGAAGATGTTCAAGTGATGACAGCGCAACTGTTACTTTAGTACCCTTTCCGCAGCTATTTCACATTATATACTTGCAGTTATATAGCAAGCAGAATAGGGTAGTGGTTATAAGTATGGACTTAGGAGCTAGATGGTCTGTATTTAATTCCTGGTTTTGCCATTTACTAGTTGTGTGACCTCAGGCAAATTTATCACACCCTTTTGCTTCAGTTTTCTCATCTGTAAAACAGAGATAATAACAGTATAAAAGACCTATTTCATAAAAATGTTGTGAGGATTAAATATACATACAGTACTTACAACAGTACCTGGCACATTGTAAGTATGATATAAGTGTTTGCTATTATTATTATTCAACTTGTTTCCTCTTCTCCAATATTTTGCATGGCAAGGTTCAACAGGTGTAATATTATATCCTGTTTTTACACCTTTCACATTACAAATTGATTTCTTAAGCCCTCATGAGTTTTTCTATGTGATTATTCCTTTGTCTTTGGCATTTCTAATTTCGCTTCCTTTCTTAAATAATTCTGTTTACCTTCCTCAACTTGAAGCAGTCTCCAAAGTGCTTTGTACAACACAAACTGATTGGTGTATTGTAAGAAAATATTAGAATTTCTCTTTATTTTTACCTAAAAATAAGAAGTAAATTGATTAATACTAACATCATATACAGAATAAGCTTGGTGTGTTCTCAATAGGTCTGTATTTCAGATTGTTTTGTGTCACGAATGGTATATGCGGCATCCTGAGAAGAAGAGTTAATGCTCAAAGGGGTTGACTTTAGAAGATATGTTCTCCACTGGTTTGTTTATTTTGTAAGTTACATACCACCAATACAATGGATTTTAATATATTTTAAAATATGTATTTTTAACCTGAGGAAACACATAGATTTCTGGGAAAAAGAAAAACAAAGCTCTGAAAATGTAATCACAAGTGAATAATAAGGTATTGGGGAGCACTGATACTTCTTGTACAAGCTCCTTTTAAAAAAAGGCTATGATACCCTAGTGATAGCTGACAAGAAACTGATCTAATAGTATGTGCATTTAATTCTGTAAATAAATATATATCAACATACATATGCTGCAAACTACACTGTAATACAAAAAATACGGAGTATATATTCAATCCTTTTCCAAGGCGAAAGGGAAAAAAATTATCTATTTTTATTTATCAGATATTTAGGAATTAGGCTTAGTTCTGAACTAAAAAGTGTGAAACAATCACCAGGCAGTTACTTGTTAAGCACTCTCCCTCCAAAATAAGAACTCTATCCTTTTGAGAAGGAGTAGTGGGGAGAGGGAAAGGAAGAGAGAATTATATATATAAAATTAGCCTATAATAGGCCTTTACTATCGGTTGAAAAAAATGTTTTACTGATGGGATGTACAATTAAAAAACTTTAGAGAATGATTTAGGAGTGAAGATAATTTGAGCTTTCCTTTACAATATCTTTGGCATTTCCTTTGCATTTTCTCAGTGTGTGTCCTATTTAACCATTTTTGGACTTCTTAGAATTCAAATGCTCAACTAGATAAATGAGGGAAAGTTCTATACTTGAGTTTACAAAGCAAATTCACAGAAGCACATATTATTAGAAAGAAGACAAAAAGCTACAGGTAAGTTTTAATCAACATAGAAGAGCATAATAATCAAATCTCTGTAATTATGAATAGCACAATACAAAATCCATAGACAAGAATTAAAGGTACTGAACAAATACATTACATGTGTTGTGATGTAAAGGTTTCCCTACACAGATGTCACACTTAAATATACATAGGCAAACTACACAAACTGACTTTTGGGAAACATACAAGAGTTTATATATGGAGATGTGATTCTAATAACCTGGGGAAGAAATACTATTTCATTTTGTCTTACACCTCCCAGCCACTGGTTCCAATAGGAACCAAGTATTCCTACTGACTCTGAAGAGCTATATAATGTGTTCTAGGAGTTAATGTGTTTCTAAATTAGGTTGATACTGCAATTACAAGCATACATTGGTTTTATTACATTTTGCTTTATTGTGCTTTGCAGATTTTTAATTTTTTACAAACTGAAGGTTTGTGGCAAGTCTGTGTTGAGCAAGTATGCCAGCACCAATTTTCCAACAGCATTTGCTCATTTCGTGTCTCTTGTACAACATTTTGGAATTCTTGAAATAATTCAAACTTTTTCATTATTATTACGTTTGACATGGTGATCTGTGATCACTGGTTATGACTCACTGAAATTTTAGAGATGGTTAATTAACTTTTTTTAGCAATGAAGCATTTTTAACTTATGGTATGCATATTTCTGACATATTGCCATTGCACACTTAATAGACTACAGTCAGTGTAACATAACTTGTGTATGCACTGAAAAAACCAAAAAATTCATTTGACCTGCTTTATTGTGGGTATCTGCCTTACCTGCACGTTCTGAAACTGGACCTGCAGTATCTCCAAGGTATGTCTATATGAAGCACTTTTGGTGTGTAAGGCTTTAAAAAAAAGTTATCTAATGACAAACGTTAAAAACAGTGTGTAATAAGAAATAGGAGCTACAGAATACTTTCTTAGGAAATAACACTCTTGGACTACGTTACCCAAATTCAAACACCTTAACCTACTTCGAACTCATCTCACTTTATTATTTTGCTATAAAACATATTCATTTATTCAATAAAACTTGAATGGCTACTCCCTGTGAACAGACACTTATCAAGGCTTGTGGGATACAGTGGTTTCTGTTATCAGATTTTTCAGAATTTTACCTCAAAACACAATTTATCAAAACTAACCTCTCTCCATTCCCAGGGGACTAAAATGACCTGTATGGTAATTTGAAAAAAAAAAACTTAATAGAATGTTGTATATTTAACAATATGCTAACATTTAAATGCAGTTTCTTGAGTGTATATAGTAGCAATAGAGCAATACTGCTAGTATTGCTAAAGTGATTGCTAAAGTAATGGATAACCTTAGAAGAATGCTAATACATAATTCCGCTTTAAACAAATACATTCTAATAATATGCAAAACCCTGTTTAGTTGTACTTTTTAATTAAGTCGATAACCTCAAATATTAGGAGAAAAAATGCTTAGGAACATAAAAGAAATACCTTTTGAATAATTCCATTTGCTACATTTAACTCAGTATCAGTTTGGATAACACTTTGGTATTTCTCCAATATACTCTGAATATTTCACAATATTCACAGAAATACTTTCTTAGGTATATACCATGACTTTCATCTTCCTAAAATTCCTTTCCCTCCTCTAGTTATCTCAAAAATCTTACTACAAAGCAATGATTTTCTGTCACTGTGCATTTTCACAGTGTACTCATTTCAGTTTTCCCCTCATTCTATGCTCATATATGAAGTGTTTTTATAACTTAAATCCTTGCTCTCTTTATTACCCTTAGAACAGTAGTTTCCAAACTTGTATGTTGAATTATCTGGTGAGCTTTTAAAAAGTCCTATTCCTTGGTCACATGAACTTACAAATTAAATCATAACCTCTGGGGCATTGGGGAGGAAGTCAGGCATTAATAGTTTTAAATATCCTCAGGTGATGTTAATGTGCAGCAAAATTTAGGAACTACTGTACTAAACTCTTAATCATTTCATTATACTTAGTACCCTTATGGTCTAAGATGTGTACTACTTTTTAATCTGTGACCTGGAACCCCTGTATTCCAAGCCTGGCATGGTGGGTAGTAGAGTAGCTGATGAGTAAACTTAGCACTTGTACCTTCTTTTTGCCACATACAATCTCATGAAGTAATGACAAAAAGTTATATTTTAGTAAAAAGCAGTCCACAGAAATGTTTAGAATTCAGAAATTTTCGAATTTTAGATGTTAATATATAGTGCATGTATCTTATATCCAATTACGCCACACAGAATTTGGGTTACTAGAATTAGCACCCTCTAATCAAGAACATATAGATATTCAAACTAACTAGAATAAATCAAAATTGGAAATAGCCTCGTGTTAGTTAGGGCCAGGTTTTGCCACCAAAAAATCCTTTGAAATTTCAGAGCTTCTGGGATTACAGGAATGAAGACAAGCATTTATGGACATATATATGCATGGGTCACAACAGAATGAGACTCAACAATCTGAAAGCCACTAACAATGTTTCTGTAAAAATGCACATGAAAATGTTCGGTATGTGCTGCTAGAGTTAAGGTGAACACCTGATAAAACAGATGGACATCGTGTAATGTGTTTGAGTGTTTATTTTATAATATTTGTTTGTAGTATTTTTTCAATTAAAAATAAATACTACTACTATTACTACTAATAAAAAATTGGAGCCCACCCCATGAAAAGAGTGGACCAAGAAGAATACCAAACTTTGTTGATAGTGTTGAAAATCAAGAAGAAAAAACACCTACCAGAAAATAGTAATCTTGTTTAAATTAAAAGGTGAATCTTAAAACTGGAATTAATGGTGGCCTAAATAAAGCATGACATGAATTGAGTTCACCATAAATACAGTAAGAAAAATATAAAAGTGTTTCAACATTTGCAATCAGGGTAAACTAAGAGAATATTTCAGTGAAAATGGAAATTATGCAAAAAAAAAAGATTTCTGCATGATTAATATGTGAAAACTGGCAAAGAAAAGATATATTCTAAATGGAAATCAGAATATGCTCAAGCACAGCATCCCAAATAGAAGTTTAAGTTTTACACACATATTGGGAGGGGGTTGCACAGTGGTGTAGGGAGATCCATTTAAAATAATTTTGGGAATTTGGGATTAAATAAAGTAAATTACCAGGATTGCTAAGAACCTTAAATCAGATAATATGCTTTCACAATCTCTAATACAGGTAGAGTATGAGGCCTTCTCACACTTCTTTGACCTCCAAACCATTTTCTCTTTATAGCATTTAATAAGACTAGTATTCCACAGAATATGATACCATTGGAGATACATTTATAAATTTGGGAATTTTAAGCGGTCTTCCAGAATGAATGTCAAGAATCAACTTCTACCTCATATCACTTGTTTTGATGAGTCATTACTTAATATTCAGTGATACCTCCATACAATGTAATGAAATCCCCAAAGATCATTAGTTTTGGAATTGGTAGCATGTATTATCATATAAATGAGAAAATAGTGTATCTTCTCTTATACTAAACACCAAATCAAAACTTAAAATAATGAACATATTCACCATTTGAGTAGGCAGTATGCATAAATACTGAAATGCTATACCTCATCAAATTCTTCAGTCATTTTTCTGATGATTTCTGCATTCTGCATATTTCGAAACATCTCTATTCTCACAGTACCTGTGGAACAACAGATTTTACAGTTAATCTCTCTCTATCCCATGCTTAAGCATTAAATTTAATCTGACCACCATCTGAAAAACTTCATATGAAAGACTTTAGGAATCCTATCTATTCTAAAGGAATTCCTTGTTAAGAATTCTGAAGTTCTTTAGACATTAAAAAAAAAAAGAATATCCTCTGTATTAAGAGAGTTGGGAAAGGAAAAGACAAAGACATAAAACAACAGATTTATACTGTAGGAAAGGCTCTAAGGATTGACTTAAATAAATCCTGGTGCTGTGCAGACACAATTGGCTGCCGTAGACTGAAGAACATCTAAGGATAGAGAGTGTTCTCTCTCTTCATGGATATTTCTAATATTCCTTGTCATCAACATATTCTTCTCTAAATTAAAACTAAATGTTTCTTAATCCAGTAACACATTTCAGTCACATCTGTTTTCTCTGAATTTAAGAAGTTCTCCAATTTTCTAATGTATCAAAGAAAAGGTTAACCCCTTTCTCATCTCTTTCTTGTACTACTTTTACCTTAGCTACTTAATTTTTATCTCAAATATGGTTATGTAAATATTATCACTATTATACTAATGAGTGGTTTATGTTGAAAATGTTTTAAAAATGTAATTTAAAGAAACTGAAAAAAGTTTCAAAATTAACCTTTAGTACAAAGAATCCTGGCCTATAATTAAATGAGGTTCAGTTTCAACTGTATACATGAAAAACGTTCAAGTTAAAAATAATGAAAATAAGACTCAATGAATCAGTAAGGCAATAATTACATTGTAAGCACTGACAGGTTTCTTGCCAGTGATTAGCAATTCTAATTCAAATCACATTTAGTACTGTAAGAGGGAAAAGTCTCTGAAGTACACTATAGTCTTATAGGAAACAGCAAGGAACAGTAAAACAGCCACTAAAAGTCATCAAAGTACGATCTTAATTCACAATCCCAACAAAAACTACAACAATATATTTGGCACATCAAACATAATTTACTTAATTTTTACTAAAATGAAAAAAATGATTTATCTCTATCTTTTAATGAAAACCATTTTTAAGTATGTTTTAATTACTTGATATATAGCTCTCCGGTTCACTTTCAGGTTGCTGAATTTATTTAGTACCATCAACAGATGGTGCCCATATCCAGCTCTAGAGATAACAGTCTAAGTAAGAAGGTGGACAAAAAGGGAAAATATTTTTAAAGAGTTCCTCCCCAACGTGCAATTTTCCATAGTGGGAAACTTTTATATTGCAATTTAATTTTTTATGCCCAAAACAGCATTATAGACAGTACTGAATAGTACTGATGACAGGTTGTTTATGCATTATAGTACAGCTTTCATTGTCAGAAGATATTTAAAAATTATATAAAAAAAAGGTGAATTGCTAATTATATCAAGTAAAAGTAACTTTCTGTCAGACATTCTTATAATTGCTCAAATTAAACAAAATTGGTTAACTGTACTGAACCTTGTTTGAGTCATGAACTATTCTGTCAATCTGAAACAGACTCCCAAAGATAAAATGCATTTAATTTCACATTTAATTTCAGGGGCTGTTTTCACAGTACTCTTGATAAGGAAAATTACATTCTTAAGTACTAAATAGGCAAAAGAAATAAAATGAGATGTTTATGTTATTAAACATGGGAAGAATCAGCTGTTCTTGGGGAGATGGGAAATATTTTACATTTTGACTGTAGTGGTGCTACATGGTTGTAATGGTTCTATGCATTTGTCAAATGTCATCAATCTGTACACTTAAAATGTGTGAGTTTTAATGTATGAGAATTATGCTGTAGTAAAATTGATTTTTTAAAAACTCAAGAAAAAGGATAGTTAATCCAACTATTGCAGGAGGAAGTTACACAAGTCATTATTAATATATTTCCAGTGCAAATAATGTTCATCTCTATTTTTATGATTGATACAGCAGGTTTTTCATATATAGTGGAGTCTTAACTATAATTTCAGTGGCTAGCTATGTTAGTTTATAAAGGGGAACTATTTAACTGCATTAATTTAATGTAAATAAAGTAAAAGGCAACAAAACAGAAAACTAGCATTAAAAGCAGTATGAAAACACCACCTCATGCTTAGTATCTCTAAAGGTGACTACCACAGACAAACAGCAGTTACTAATAAAGTCAGATATTTATAGCTGTAATTTTGAAAATGAACAAAAGCTTGTTACTGAGATTTTTTTTTAAAGAGCAAAACCCTTCTGTTGCCACAAGATTACATCAAAGATTAGCCTATGTATTTGCTTTCTAATTGTTCATTCTTTTCCGGTTGGGTCCCATGACCCTACCGAAACTACTTCCTTACACCAATTATCTCCTAAAAACAGTCTATGTAGTAATACCCTATCTATTCTATTTAAAGCATTTGCTCCTTATATTGGTTTCTGAAACACTATATCCATGTACCATGTCCTATGATGGCTTAATTTTGATTTTTTTCACTTACTTCTAGTCATTTACCTCAGTAGAAATAGGTAATTTCCAAAGGTCTAACACATTCTTCTTTGTCAATTTTTACATTTTCTAACCTGGAAAGGGGTGCCACCACAGAAAAGTGCAGCAGAAACCACAACTTAAGAATATTTACTTTACTTACTAATATTCCTCCAGTTCCTTAAAAATGCCTGACACCTTAAACTCTTCTCGTTCCTATTAAGCTTTCTTTGGCAAAGAAAAAATCATGACTACCTCAAGACTAATACTGAAATTAAAAGGTTAATCACAGTTCACCTTCTCTTTTTTGGTTCTTAAAAATCTGTATTTCTAATAGATGATTATACTAAGATTCTGGATAATAAAAATAGAGATCTGAAATAATTCAGATTCCTGGAAACATAAATATCTGAAAATAGAGAATGAAAAAAATGAATTACTTCCCACTTTCTTTAACAATAACAAGTTATCAGTGAAAATTCTGAAAGAATAACCTACTAATATGTATTTTCTATTAAAAAATAACAGGTTGTTGGAGCATCTCCTCCTGACAAGACAGTACTACTAATGAAGACAAAGGAATAAAACAGTCATTTTAACTATACGTACAGAAATAGAAGTGACATTAAGAAGCTACCATTAATTTCTTGATCACTTGAATGATGCCAAACTACTGGTGAGAGCATGACTCAATATAATCTCTATGGTATGCAATTTGGCGAATGTCCAACCAAATTACAAATTTTCATACTCTTTGGCCTTCACGTTGTACTTGCTGCAAAGCATAAACTCACACATGTGCAAAATAATGAATGCACAAGGTTATTATTTGAAGCACTGTTTATAATAGCAAAATAGAAAGAAAACCCATATACCCATAAGTAAGAATCTCCGTAAGTAAAAGTGGTAATGAAAATGACAATGATGGTGGGCAGCTAACATCTGAGGGTTCACTATCTGCCAGCAATTGTACTAAATAAGCTCTTCAAGTTAAGACATTTAATCTTCACAATAACGCTACGAAAAATGTGTATTTTTCTCCCATTCTACAAGTGAAAAAATTGAGGCAATTAAGAGATTCAGCAACTTACAAAAGGGTTTTCCCAGTAGCAGAGCCATGGTCTGTATGCAGTCTGGCTGCAGGGTGTATAACTGACTACTACTCTTATTTGACTCTTATTAAAAGTCAGTGAAATCCATGGAGATGACAAAAACAATACATTTGGATTACCAGCAACGACATTTAATCAGTAATCAAAAAGCTACCCAAGAACAAAACCCCCGGGCCAGACGGATTAACTGTTGAATTATATCAGATATACAGAGAAGACATAATACCCATTCTCCTTAAAGTTTTCCAAAAAATAGAAGAGGAGGGAATACTTTCAAACTCATTCTATAAAGCCAGCATAACTCTAATACCAAAACAAGGCAAAGACCTCACAAATCACCAAAAAAGAAAATTACAGACCAATATCCCTGATGAACAGAGATGCAAAAATACTCAAAAAACTATTAGCAAACCAAATTCAAAAACCCATCAAGAGGATCATACACCATGATCAACTGGGATTCATCTCAGGGATGCAAGGATGGTACAAAATTCGAAAATCCATCAACATCATCCACCACATAAAGAAAAAGAAGGACTAAAACCACATTATCTCTCTATAGATGCTGAAAAAGCATTCAACAAAATTCAACATTTATTCATGATAAAAACTCTCAACAAAATGGGTATAGAGAGCAAGTACCTCAACATAATAAAGGCCATACATGACAAACCCGTAGCCAACATCATATTTAACAGTGAGAAGCTGAAAGCTTTTCCTCTAAGATCAGGAACAAGACAGGGATGCCCACTCTCCTCACTGTTCTATAACATAGTACTGGAGGTCCCAGCCATGACAATCAGACAACACAAAGAAATACAAGGCATCCAGATTGGTAAAGAAGAAGTCAAACTGTCACTATTTGCAGATGACATGATATTACACATAAAAAACCCTAAAGACTCCACTCTAAAACTACTAGAACTAATACTGGAATTCAGCAAAGTTGCAGGATACAAAATTAATACACAGAAATCTGTTGCTTTCCTATACACTAATGATGAACTAGCAGGAAGAGAAATCAGGAAAACAATTCCATCAAAAAGAATAAAATACCTAGGAATAAACGTAACCAAGGAAGTGAAAGACCTATACCCTAAAAACTACAAGACATTCATGAGAGAAATAAAAGAGGATACTAATAAATGGATATACATCCCATGCTCTTGGCTAGGAAGAATTAATATTGTCAAAATGGCCATGCTGCCTGAAGCCATCTACAGATTCAGTGCAATGCCTATCAAAATATCAACAGCATTCTTCAATGAACTAGAACAAATAGTTCTAAAATTCATATGAAACCATCAAAGATTCTGAATAGCCAAAGCAATACTGAGAAGGAAGAATAAAGGATCTCACTTCCCAAAATCAAGCTCTACTACAAAGCCACAGTAATCAAGACAATTTGGTACTGGCACAAGAACAGAC